TCAAGATATTGATGATTGTGGAAACTACCTACCAATTCGATTTCATCTATAAATCAGTCTTAGATAATTTTTAATAATTATCGGATTATTTATCCGTTTTTAATGATAAATATCGATAACAACCATATAAGAGAGTGCTTATCAGTATAATTGTTTAAACCCTTATCCGAAGAGTTTATAGATTAATTTGATATGTATCTAATAAGTGAACATCAGTACTGCTGAAAATCAACATAAAGAATGATAAAACTAACTCAATTTATTATATTATGAAGAAAAAGCCTCGGCAACTATATGTTACCTAGAGGCTGGAAATGAAATACTAAATGTCTGAAAAACACAAAAATTACGGAACTCTAATCCAACGAAATGTATGCATATTTATCAAACCCCAATGAATAAAAAACGATTTAACTTTTAAAACTAACTAATTGAAAAACTCTCTTCAACTGCAACTTCATCAAATCAGTCTTCTTTTTCTTCGATCAAATTCCCATCATCATCAACCTTTGCTTTCCCTTTATTGCTTGTAACGGACTCAACAGCAAATTGATCAGATAGGTTCCGTTTTGCAATTCCATCAACATCTTCCTTGGATTGAACAACCTTCACAGGAGTCGATACCTCATCTTCCAACGTGGGATCCTACAATAATTCAATTAAATATACTTAATGAAAATAATGTTTCATATTTCAATTCATTATGAAATAAAAAAAAAAAAAAATCGTATCATTGTGGTAAAGATGTATACCACTCCATCTGCAGCCTCGTCTCTTAGTAAGAGAGTTAAGAAATCTGAATCCTATAAAAAAAATTAATATTATATTACATACAAAGAAATAACACAAATACGTTAATATAAAATGAACACAATTAAACTTTATAAATTTTGAATAAAGGTTATAATCAATTATCTGAATTCAAATAAGACTTACATCATACTCAACGACCCATTGACTATACTTGGAAACCAAACGTTCGTCAACGACAACTTTTATCACAGTAAAAGTAGAACCCTGATTGTAAGGGTCATCCGGCTTAATGCGAACCTTAAATAGATATGACCTCCCTTGCAAATCTTCAAGTTCATCGGGGAGTTCAAAGATAGGTTTCTTCTGCCATAAAATCAAAATATACAATGCCTTTTCATTTTTTTGACCGTAAAATATAAATATAAATGTAAATATCAATAAATCAATAAATAATAAATAAGATATAACGGAATATACCTTTTGGGAAAATTCACGTTTCAAAACATCGCAAGTTTTGCCAATGATATTTTGACAATCCTTATCCCAACAAACGAAGGTTGCACTGGCGGAAGCATTCGAGACACTAAATTGAATTTTGTAGCTACAAATCAAAAAAAATTGTGATTAATGTTGTCATTAATAAGGTTCATATACAAATACATATACATATTTAAAATTGAATATATAGAATATTAACAAACCGAAATGTGCCACGATTATAAGAACACTTCCGGCACGAATATATCCCGTTGTCATCCTCCATTGAGGAGTTACAACGAAGACATGCAAGGTACCACCATTGGTCTATGATGGAATCGATCCTTGCGCAAACCCAAGTGTCCATTACCTACAAAGAAAATATGTATACATAACCATTAACATGAATTCGATTATAATATATATAGTATATCATTTAATTTATCGAAAATGTTATTAATAAGTCATAAATAATCTCGGCAATTATAATAATAATTAACATTATAATTATTAGTTTTACAATTAGAATACGAAATAGAGTTACAATTTATTTTACCTCAATATACTCGAATAGGGAATCAACAGAACTAACAACAATGTCACCATCATCAAGTCCTTGTAGTTCGGTCTTCACAATGATTGAGCTACTTGACACCAATTTGGTGTCCTTAAATTCAGTCATAGCCAACCTACGTTGTAGAATAACATAAACAATGATAAGTTATAATATGATGATACACAGTAACCAATGGAAGCATTGGAGCATCAAATAACATGTACCTCCTCCGAAAATCTTCAATTTCGGGAACATCCACACCAATGATCAACGTCACGTCCTTCGACGTGCTTATTTGAACATTACCTATTACACAAAATATTGTCATAAATAATTAGTATTAATCAGAAATTCATTTCATAATGAAAAAATCGTTAATTTAACATAATTAATTACCTCTCCACTCTCTTGCGCGACACATTTGCAATATGATGACAAAAGGTGTTTTTTCGTTTTCATAATGATGCTCCAAAGCAATTAGCTGATCAACATATCGACCCCAGACAGTGCATTCCTTGACATTACCCCTACAAAATGTGGATACATGTTTTTAAATAAACCGAAATGTGCTACGAATATTTTATTTGTTCACACGTAATATTGAAATTTTAATTCAAAAAAATTAAAATACATTAAATACTTAAGTCATATAAAATGTTATAATATAAGGTTACAAAATATTACCCCAAATCCATAATAGAGAATACAATCATTTGGGTAGGAACTCCCTTCACAATCTTCATTTGAATTGGTTGTATTGAAACAACCAATCCAATGATATCTACAAAAAAATAAAAGAATGCATCATATTAAAATGTTGAACATAACAAATAGTTTATTAAAGCATTTCAAAAAAATTCAGAATATATATATGTATATATATATATATATATATATATTTTTATATATGTAACGTAACAAACAACATAGCTTCCTCAATGTTACGAACATCCATCAAAGTCAGAAAGTTTCTAAAGTCAAAACGAAAAAATGGAAAATCCTCCTTCCATTTCAAAATCTTGGCTTGGCCATGGATGATGATCCTCCATTTTCCTATGGTCGATTTGTAGATGCCGATATTACTTTCAACTTGATAATTTGTCAAAATATAAAAACCACCTTCTTCAATATTGCCTTTGAATTTTTGGATGTTGACAGGTCGAATAATGCCAGTAATTCGTACACCCTAAAACAAATACAAATTGAATAATTAAATATATGAGATATAAAATATAAAATATGTCACGTTAAATGATGCAATCCGAATTATTTCTGAATTAAAATTTAGTCTTAAAGTTAAAATTAAATGTAGATGTAAATAATAATAAAAGAATATATTACCTCAACATCATGAAAGACAATCTCAAGAACATTTCGATAATTGCGTACATCTTCGACTCGTTGGAACATCCTAATAATGCGTAGCTTCATGGGTGGCTTTTTGGATCTGTCGATATCCTTGATGACTCCAAAATCCATAGGCATTGTGAATGTTGTTGTAAAAGCTTGTCGAAAAAATAGACTTGTGGGATGTGTATGATGTCGAATATCTGTTGAAAAGTTTGTGATATTTATATAAGCCCGTGCGATGAAACTATCGTGAATTATCCAATAATTTTTAACGGAATTTGTGACAATATTCGATAATTTTGACAATGATATTAATAATATCCCATAGGATCCGATCGGATTTACTTCAAAAAATAAATCGATGAGTTGGTTAAAAAATGAGGACTCTATACACGTCATTTCGATCCAATTGGTAGGCAGTTTTAATTTTTTTGGTTTAAAAGTTCCAAAATGATTGTCAGAGATTCCGTTAATTACGCTGAAATTTTGAACATATTGCGCCTACAATTAAAAACCAATTTAAATCGCATAGAATCCGATTTTATTGTGAAAGAAAATCGCAACAAATTTTGAAGAGAATCAGATTTATAAATCGACTGAAATTTCGCACATATTACGCTTATATTTGAATACCCTTTGAATTCGCTCATAATTCTGTTGTTTTGTTAAAGAAAATCGCAAAAAAATTGGAACAATATCGCCGCAAGAGAATCACAACATTTCTTTACCAAAATCCGCATCATTCGTGGACAACAATTTTTGAACAAAATCCGCATGTATTATAATTCCAAAACGATTTTGAGGTGATAAGGAGTAATCACTATCTTTTATTGTCAAAGAAAATCCCATTGAATTCGCTCATAATCATGTTTTTTTTGGTAAATAAAATCGCAAAAAAAAATGGAACAATATCGACACAAAACAATGGCAAATATATTTTTCCAAAACGATTTTAAGGTGATAAAGAGTGATTACTTCAATTAGCAAGTCAAAGCATTATTTTTTTAAGTCAACCTTACTATTTTTGTATTTTTCCATCAACCTCTTTATATTACTATAGATACAGATTGATATAGTTAGTTGAACATGTTTATTGAACAAAAAACACATATATTCACATGGAGTGCCATAGTTTTTTTTATAAAAAAAAAAACAAATGTCAACTAATTATCTAACTATATTTTAACGAGTAAGACTAAATATGTTATGTGAGTATGATTTTATTTTTAACTGTGAATGATATTAGTTTTGAACATTATATAGGTGACCTCATATATACATAATACATTTCCGTGGTATTATATGTGTATTGAAGATGATTTAGAAAATAATTCTCAACTAAGTAGTACCAAATACAATTAAAAATTTGATTACACACAGTAAAGAACAACATTGTTACAGATGTGATGCCTTGATTCTCATATCTAACTACGTTAAAACACTGTGACTCTCAAAAATAAAACATTTAAGTGTTAACAACATTCCTACAGTTGCAACGCTAGGCCTTTTGATTCTCATATCAACTAAGTTAAAAGACTAAGACTCTCAAAACTAAAACATTTAAGAACAACATTCCTACGGTTGTAAAGCTAGGCCTTTGATTCTCATATCAACTAAGTTAAAAAGCTAACTCGCAAAAGTCAAAACTAACACATCAGGACATGGTAGTAGCCTTCATATTCTTAGGTGATGAAAACAGGGACTCCGTTAATGTTGGGGCTAGATATCGAGAATCTTTACAGGCAATCATTTCTCCAGACAATATATTGATAAATCATGATTAAGGTTGTTAACACTTTTAATCTGGAAATTAATCGAGGCTAACGTGCTGTAATAATAATAAACCCGCATCTTCAATTAAAGTGACACCCAAAAAAGAGATGAAGTTGGGGACATGTTCTAACACATGTAATAATTATATTATGAACAAAGAAAGTATGATTCAAAAAACCCAACAGAGATTGCTATTTCAATGATAAACGCCAAAGAGACAAAGAAAACGTAAAAAGGGGAAGGCAATGATATCAAGCCTTGCTACTGTGCATCATCTATCACAGAAGTTCACTTTCTTCATCATAACTCAACAAAAGTTGTTGACTTTCACACTATATAGCTTGTATTAGTCGAGGAAATAAGCAGAAAGAAAATTACAATATCACTTAATTCCTATAAACTGGGAACAAGGGCCAATGTGGGGGGGAGTAGTATTTGAACAATGCCATCTGTACCCTGTTCCTGATTTGCAATTTGGAGAATATTAGACATGTGTAAAAAATGTACACTTGTCAATGTGAACTGAAGGGGAAAGGTAGGACAACTAGCAAACAACAGTAGATGTAAAATGGGGTATGAGACAAATCCTTATATAGACTACAGCAGTAGCAGCCAGTAAACTAAGAGTAGCAGGGGAAAGAGAAAAAAGAAAAACTAAAAAAGAAAAAAATGTAAAAGAAAGAAAGAAGGCTCAAGAGGTGTTTTTGTTGTTGTTGTTGCTGTTAGCAGCGACGGCCCCTACGGCAAGGGAGGGCCCCAGCTCCAGAAGTAATAGATGCAACCATGGAAGAGGGCTTTGCTCCTAGACTTGAGGCTCTAGCGTAACTTGCTGCAGCCCCAGCTCCGGAAGACGTGAAATAAGCACCGTTGAGCAAGAGATCACCCTCGGACCTCCAATTCCATCCCTTCCACTGGTTGTCGGGCGTGTCAACTCTCTTTGTCACCTGAATGAAAAAATATTAGAGGAAATTATTATATTAAGAAAGTTGTGTAGTGTATTTGTACGGTACCTCCTTGGCAAAAGGATTGAGTGGAGCAAGATATCTATTCCCCTGGCTATTGATGGTTGGTTCGGCACTCCCTCCAATGGCGTACATCTCCCAGTGCGTGTAGTCATTATTAACAACATGAAAGTATCCGTGCCTACACCTCGGCATCCTCTGAATGAGCCCCTCTCCGAAATGATTGAACGCAATCGTCACCTGCATCTGCTTATCCCTCATGTAACTATCGCTATGACCCAACAGCATAACCTCGTTGTGGTGCGTGAAGTAGTTATTTGAGATGGTGATGGCCGTGGAGCCCATGACCGCATCCACGAGCCCGTCCGCGCAATTCGAGAGCGAGTTGTGGTCGACCCAAATATGGCTCGACCCGAAAATCGAGATCCCGTCCCCATCCGCCATCGTCCTCCACCCGTAATGGCTCGGTGAGCTTCGGACCATGGCATTTCCCGTGGGCTTGCAGTCGTGGATGTGGAGGCCGTGGATGATGACGTTGGTGACGAACTGCACGGTGATGCAGGCGCCGTTGGCGATGTGGACGTTGGCGCCGCGCGCGTCGATGGTCTTGAAGCTGTTGACGATGAGTTCCTGCTCGAGGGTGATGGTCATGTCGCGCTTGAAGACGATCCAGAGGGGCTCGTCTTGGATGGCGGCGTGGCGGAGGGTGCCGGGGCGGGGGTTGACGGGGTCGTGGTCGGTGGGGTCGGTCACCACGTAGAAGCGGCCGTCGCGGCCGCCGATGGCGCCGCGGCCGAAGCCGATGCCGCAGTCCGCGAGGCGCTTGCGGTTGCGCTGCCAGTTGGAGTCGCAGCGCCAGCAGTCGTCGATTGGGTTGCCGGTCGAGCAAGAGAGGAATCCTAGGTCGCGGCCTCGACGATGCTCTGTGCTGTTGCTGCTAATTGCCCTGTTTTTTTT